GCAGGTGGCTATCAATTCGTTAGCCTATGATTTAAGTCCTTTGTCTACGAACATTTTATTTAACACGGTAAACGCCACGTCGGTCCCGACGGACCGACCGCAGACTTTTCGTTCATGTTATTCCCGCGCGCGTGTCGGTCCTTGCATACTTGTAAGACTGAACATTTAATTTAGGCGACATCGGTTTTTGTTTGGTCAATGCTTTAAGGAAAAGAATATAATACTTAAAAACATTAATGTAATTTATTAAACCAAGGTAAACAAAGGTTTGCTTGTATTGATTACAGAAGGTTATTTTGTGTTAAATTTTTCGCCATCTTTGAACCTAACATTTGTGAATTTGTATTATAACATTACCGGTGCGGTATCTTCTAACTTTATACGCACTGCCTTCCTTTTTTTCCAAGTGATGCCGAGGTTTTGTACGTGTGTCGATTTGTTCGTCCTTCTACGTGCTTCAATTAATTTTTTGCGATATGTTGTGATACACATTTTTTGGCCTGTTGATTCTTGATATATAAAGAACGAATTCACAACAGTGTTCAGTAAAAGTTCGAAATCTAATTTTCGGTACCATTTCCGTAATGGGTTATTGTATGCAGCCATTTGATCTGACAGGTCAATAGACTTTTTTCCCACATTATAATCTTACTTACGATTTTTGTCTCTCTTCGAACGGTTTCCATTTCTATCTAATGTTTGATAGAAAGTAACAGAATATCATGCCTTTCCATTTCAAAATTGTGATCTCTTTACTCTCTTGTGCGGCGCATTGTCCCCGTTTCAGTTTTTTGGACACCACTTCTTTTGGATTATCTTTCCGGTTATTTCGGAGAGTACCAATCAAATGGGTATTTTTTTCGATGAGTTTTCTTGCCAAATTTACACTAGTGTACCAGTTATCCGAGCAGAGTGTATGGCCTTTGTGGAATATGTCTTCACATAAATTCATGACTGTATTCGTTGGTGTTGTATTCACTGCGTCGAAAGTTTTGCTACTGTAGACACGAAAGCTGTATGTATATCCGAGACCGCAGCTGAGTTTGAAAATTTTTATCCCACATCTGTGTCTCTTCTGCTTCATATACTGCCGGAATATGATTCGTCCACGAAATGGAATCATTGATTCGTCAATACAAATCAATTCCGTTGGATGATAATACTGCTTAAAATTTTCATTCAACTCATCGATAATTGGCTGGATTTTCCACAAACGATTGGTAACATCTGCTGTTTCGTTGTTTGCAAAATGAAGCATCCTCAAAAAGATCTGGAATCGGTTCCTGCTCATTACTTTGTGAGGATCCCTGGACCAGTATAAAGTTGTGCATGGATATTTGACCAATCCCATCCAGATAACGAGCCCAAATAACCGCTTTATTTCTTCTTTATTTATGGGGACCCACCGATCTATACGCATCGAAGCACTTGTTGATCGTTTTTGCACTGCGTATATATTTCTTTGATCACTTATCCGCTGAAGCATTTCTTCCGTGACCAGTAGCGCGTAAAAGTCTTCCACAGTGAGACAATTTTGCAGTTCGATATTAATTATGTCAACACCACATACGCCCGTAAAGGCTGTAATG